GTGCGATGAAAATTTGATAAACTGAACTCAATTGAATGCATTGAAGACCGATAAGAACATTGTTTCACATGATCTCTGCAATAGACCAACAATTTTACTTCCATTTTTAAAAAGTTTGACAAAGAATCCTTATCTGTCCACGATTTCTCCCCATTTCGGACCACTGTACGTCCAAAGTTTTTGAATCTGAACACAGTTACATGCACGGGGGCTCAATAAGAACATTTACAGCCCAAACCCATCAATAAAGTAACTTTGTCGTCCATTTTTCCCGACTTTTTGCTGTAAAAATGCTGTCCAGAATGATGGCGATTTGGCAACTTTGCCCCCCATTTCTCAAAAACGGTACGTATACTCAAGCTAAAATTTTTACCAGAGTTTTAGGGTATCATAAGGTGTCGTTTGGGCCCGGTTTCAGAAAAATCCCTTCTGGCCCAAATTGTGCCAAAAAACGGTCGTTTTTGGCGTCGCTCTTTGTTACGCGATTTGGCATAGTGAGAAATGAGCTTGTTTTTGAGTGATGCAAAGTCAAGCGAGCTAGGAAGGACAGGAAAACAAAGAGCATTTAATGATGCATTTAACTCGGGGCCCATGTGCACTCGAGCCTGGTTTGCCCATTGAGTTTTAGGCACATGGCATAAGTTCAATTTGAGTTCGAACCTGTCGAAGTAATCCTCTATCTGTTCTTGAGATGTTGTGGAGAAAGCATCAAAAGAGAACCGGGAGGCGGATTGGACCGTCGGTGAAGATTGGGAAGCGGCAAGCTGCAGGACCAAGTCAGTTAATTGGGCGAGTTTAGCTTCGAGGCCTTGAGGTTGAGGAGGATCTGTTTCACCATCCGACATGATGCGATGCACACTTCACGGCACGGGGTCGAGCGATAGCGCGAGGAAAACGCGACCGTTAACGCAAAAACACGTTGAAGAGAGAGAGTTCCGAATTTTGAAGATCGGAAGAAATTAAACTCGTCGCCATTTGTTATATCGGAAGAAATTAAGGATGACGGAAAAGAGAAGAGAACGAGTTGCGTGACATAACCTTAGAGTGTATTGATAAAAATACAACCTTGCCCAGCAGGCCTGACACCTAAGTAGCGACAATATCACTACTCATACACACTACCAACTGCTACATAACAATTTGAAACTTGGGGGATATTCTTAGGTCAAAGGAAGCTACTTTTTGGCCCCCCTAAAATTTTCAGGGGGGCTCCCCTTGGGGGGCAACGGCCCCCAACTTTTAATTTTCAAATGGGAAGACCCCTTTTGTGGTAGCTCGTTCGAAAGAGCATAAAAAAAGAAAACTTTTCGCGCAAACCCGAAGTCAATATCTCAAACCGTTTCAAAATGGCGGCCGGTTAAAGTTCAAAATGGCCGAAAATTCACACCGGTTATTTCTCGATGAATTTGCGCGAAAATCGGTAATCAGGGGTATTTTGACACGAGAAAAACGAATTTGACATTAGATTTTCAAAAAACCAAAATTTCCAAAATGGCCGCCGGTTAAAGTTCAAAATGACCAAATATTGATTTTTTTAGAAATCTAATTTTAAGTTCAAATTTGTTTATCTTATGTCAAAATACTCTCAAATTCTAAGTTTTAGACAAATCCATCAGGAAAAACCCGAGGTGACAATTTTCGGCCATTTTAAACTTTAACCGGCGGCCATTTTGGAAATTTTGGTTTTTTGAAAATCTAATGTCAAATTCGTTTTTCTCGTGTCAAAATACCCCTGATTACCGATTTTCGCGCAAATCCATCGAGAAATAACCGGTGTGAATTTTCGGCCATTTTGAACTTTAACCGGCCGCCATTTTAAAACGGTTTGAGATATTGACTTCGGGTTTGCGCGAAAAGTTTTCTTTTTTTATGCTCTTTCGAACGAGCTACCACAAAAGGGGTCTTCTCATTTGAAAATTAAAAGTTGGGGGCCGTTGCCCCCCAAGGGGAGCCCCCCTGAAAATTTTAGGGGAGCCAAAAAGTAGCTTCCTTTGACCTAGGAATATCCTCCAAGTTTCAAATCTTTACCTCAATTAGGTAAAAAGTTAGAGGGGGTGGAAGGGACTTTTGGATCACCCTGTATGTATACTCAAGCTAAAATTGTTACCAGAGTTTTAGGGTATCATAAGGTATCGTTTTGGCCCGGTTTCAGAAGAATCCTCGCGAACCCAAATTGTACCATTCTGGACGTCGCTCTTTCCTTTTCAGTACCTATAAAATGTTTCCCTTTGCACATTTTTCTCCTTTATTCCTTTGTTTTTCGATTTTATTTTCCTTTTTCTTTTTTTTATCAATTTTATATGTATAATGACAGCAGTTATTATACTTTTTAATAATACATATAATAATTGTATGCCGATAATTGTTACTGGAAAAAACATGTTTTTTCACACTGTTAATTAAAAATGTGTTCTCAATGCTCTCTAAGGAATCAAGCCAAAATGAGGACGACTTATTTAGAAATCAACTTGAAGAGGCTTTTTTAGTAAGAGGTCCCGAAGCCCGACACGCAAAAATCAGACACACATTCCAAACACTGGAATGGCACTATCGCAAACAGCTTGCCGCCCTAAAAGATGATGATGAGAAAGAGCTTGCCGCCCTAAGAAAAGAGCTTGCCACCCTAAAAGATGATGATGAGAAAAAGCTTGCCGCCCTAAGAAAAGAGCTTGCCACCCTAAAAGATGATGATGAGAAAAAGCTTGCCGCCCTAAGAAAAGAGCTTGCCGCCCTAGGAAAAGAGCTTGCCGCCGTAAGAGATGAAAACGAAGTTCTCAGAAACCGAACAGTAAGTTTTAATTTTCAGGCCTACCTAAAATTCAATAGCTTAGGGTAGGGGGGGGGGGGG